GCTGCTCACCTTTAACAGATACCAAGGAACAACCTCTGCATTTCCTTTTAGGTCTCCCAGACATGATGTTGTTATGGGAGTTATTCCCTAGTTTTATTAAAAGCTATGGCAAGAGCTGTATGGGGGAAATAGTGTTTTCATGCAAATGACACTGTGGTGTTTTCGAGGACTAAACTGCACCACAAAAGTATTTAGTGCTCTACTGCAAAAAAGAGCAGCAGTTGCTGAAAGAGCAACCTTTTCTAGTCTGCAGGCTGGGACAGTGGCCAAAATATAGCCAATATGAGGCACCTGAACAGTTAGCAAGACTTGCAAGACTTTGCCTAATGATTTTTATCTGCAATGTATTGTGGGTTGTTTGGCTGGGTAATTCCCTCTGAATGTCTGAAAGTTTACACTGAATCCTAACCTCAGACCAACATTCAGAGCAGAAAAGTTATATAATGAACTATAATTGTCAATAATTTTTAAATCTGCAAAACATTGAAGAAGAAGGAGCTACAATCCTTTTTCCCAAATTAACCAACAGAAAACATGTTGCAAATTAAAACTATTTTATAAAGGCTAGAAAGGTATTGAAGGTTTAGTTTTGTGGCTACCCAATTAATACATTGTACAATTTGTTCTCATTGAATGTGTATTTTATTAAACAATAAAATAAGAAATCGATTTAGGTTGCCATCTTACTAAACATGGTGTACCTTGTAACATTTAAATTTAAATGCAGTTAAAAAATGCTTTCCAAAGCGTAGTTACTGAGAAAATCACGTATCTTAAACATTTTCTTAAAGGCCATGGTCTTTTGTCTGTAATTTGCATAACTCATTTCTTCAGTTGCATTTAATTCAATATCTCAGTTTAACTTTGATCTGCTAAAGGCTCAAGAAGTTTCCTCAGTCTCATGATTTTAATTGGATGAAAGTCAGATACATAACACATGACAAATACAAAAACACCAAACTCTTCAAATCTGAACAAGCACTCTACAGTAAATAGTTGCCAAGTTAAATTATGGAAATTATTTCAACATGAATCCTATTAGTTCAAAAATAAAATAGATATGTTAACATATATTAAAATTATTTTATGAGTATAGAAAAGAGAAAAGGATTATTATGTTAAAGAAGGCTTTACATATAGTGTTGGACAGGGTGTAAAAGGAGTTTGGTAGATGGTGAGCACCCACTTAAAAAAAAAAGAAAGAAATCTAGCAAAAAAAAAAGTTTTCTATTTTTAGATAGAGTGTAGAAATGTTATAACCTCTGTCAGTTTTTTATTGATGTCTGTGTATCCACTTGAAATGCCTATCCAAGGCAGTATCCATCACAGGAACATAAAACATTTGCTTCACAAGCTCACAAGCAAATCAAAGTGTCAAAATGAAAGTAGTCATATACTGTATTTAAATAGCCAAGCTTTGTATGTGAAATTTATTGCATTAAAACAAGTGCACATGATATGGCTATAGGGTGTACATTCCACCATATATTTATATAAATATATACTGTAGTAGTGGCATAGATAAAATAAAAAGTGCATACTTAAAGTGGTTGTGAAGGCTGAAGTTTTTTTACCTTCATTTATTCTATACATGAAGGTAAAAAACCTTTAGTTTGCAGCTCCCTTCCCCCTAAGCCAAACCTAATACTTATCTGAGCACAATCTCAAATCCAGAGATATCCTCCTCATTGGCTGAGACCCAGCAGCGGAAGCAATTGGCTCTGGCTGCTGTCAATCACAGCCAGTAAGGTGGGAGTGGGGGGCATGGCCCAGCCACACTCTGCCTGTCTTATGGACACACACAGGCAGCTCAGAAGCGAGTACACACAAGTGTCCCCGGAGCAAGCAGCTTGCTCTGCAGGCACTCAACAGGGGGGAGGAGTCAGAAGCATCTGTGGGGGACCTGAAAAGAGGAAACTTGGGACTGCTCTGTGCAATACCATAAGGAACACATGTTTAGCGGTTGAAACATTGTATCTATTAGTTTACATTTAGGATACAGATGTTTGAACCACTGTTCATGTGAAGAAGCTGTGAGAGAACTGTCAGAAATAGAGGAACTCTGCACATACACTTTTTGCCGGCTTGGAATTATTCTTCTTTTCATCCTACTTCTTCTTCTTCTTCATCTTCATCCTCAGAAGAAGAGGATGAGGATGAGGATGAAGAAGAAGAAGAAGAAGTAGGATGAAAAGAAGAATAATTCCAAGCCGGCAAAAAGTGTATGTGCAGAGTTCCTCTATTTCTGACAGTTCTCTCACAGCTTCTTCACATGTACAGCGGTTGAAACATCTGTATCCTAAATGGAAACTAATAGATACAATTAGTAAACTAATTTGTATCTATTAGTTTCCATTTAGGATACAGATGTTTCAACCGCTGTACATGTGAAGAAGCTGTGAGAGAACTGTCAGAAATAGAGGAACTCTGCACATACACTTTTTGCCGGCTTGGAATTATTCTTCTTTTCATCCTACTTCTTCTTCTTCTTCTTCATCCTCATCCTCATCCTCTCTCTTCTGAGATGATGATGAGGATGAAGATGAAGAAGAAGAAGAAGCAGTAGGATGAAAATAAGAATAATTCCAAGCCGGCAAAAAGTGTATGTGCAGAGTTCCTCTATTCTGCAGATACACTTAGAGGAGCTCTGCACATACACTTTTTGCCTGTTTGGAATTAATCTTATTTCTTTATCCTCATCCTCAGAAGAAGAAGAAGAGAAGAGAAGAAGAAGAAGAAGAAGTAGGATGAAAATAAGAATAATTGCAAGCCGGCAAAAAGTGTATGTGCAGAGTTCCTCTATTCTGCAGATACACTTAGAGGAGCTCTGCACATACACTTTTTGCCGGCTTGGAATTAATCTTATTTTTTTCATCCTACTTCTTCTTCTTCTTCTTCTTCTTCATCCTCATCCTCATCCTCAGAAGAAGAAGAAGAGGATGAGGATGAGGATGAAGAAGAAGAAGAAGAAGAAGAAGAAGTAGGATGAAAAATAGGATGAAAATAAGAATAATTCCAAGCCGGCAAAAAGTGTATGTGCAGAGCTCCTCTAAGTGCTGCGAGCAAAAAGTGTATGTGCAGAGCTCCTCTAAGTGTATCTGCAGAGCTCCTCTAAGTGTATCTGCAGAATAGAGGAACTCTGCACATACACTTTTTGCCGGAAACCGCTGTATGGAGGGAATATGGAACTGTCAGAAATAGACTATTAATGACAGTTCTGGGACTGTCCTTCCATACAGCGGTTGAAACATTGTATGTATTTGTTTCCATAAATGGATCCATTTATGGAAACAAATACATACAATGTTTTTCAACCGCTGTATGGAAGGACAGTCCCAGAACTGTCATAAATAGTCTATTTCTGACAGTTCTATGACATTCCCTCCATACAGCGGGTTGAAACAGCTGTATGGAGTGAATGTCCCAGAACTGTCAGAAATAGACTATTTATGACAGTTCTGGGACATTCACTCCATACAGCGGTTGAAACATTGTATCTATTTTTTTCCATAAATGACATTCTGCAGATACACTTAGAGGAGCGCTGCAGATACACTTTTTGCCGGCTTGGAATTATTCTTATTTTCATCCTACTTCTTCTTTTTCTTCTTATGAGGATGAGGATGAAGAAGAAGAAGTAGGATGAAAATAAGTTAATTCCAAGCCGGCAAAAAGTGTATCTGCAGCGCTCCTCTAAGTGTATTTGCAGAATGTCATTTATGGAAAAAAATAGATACAATGTTTCAACCGCTGTATGGGAAGGACAGTCCCAGAACTGTCATAAATAGTCTATTTCTGACAGTTCTGGGGGACATTCACTCCATACAGCTGTTTCAAAAAACCGCTGTATGGAGGGAATGTCATAGAACTGTCAGAAATAGACTATTAATGACAGTTCTGGGACTGTCCTTCCATACAGCGGTTGAAACATTGTATGTATTTGTTTCCATAAATGGATCCATTTATGGAAACAAATACATACAATGTTTCAACCGCTGTATGGAAGGACAGTCCCAGAACTGTCATTAATAGTCTATTTCTGACAGTTCCATGACATTCCCTCCATACAGCGGTTGAAACAGCTGTATGGAGTGAATGTCCCAGAACTGTCAGAAATAGACTATTTCTGACAGTTCTGGGACAATCCCATCCATACAGCTGTTTCAACCGCTGTATGGAGGGAATGGAATGTCATGGAACTGTCAGAAATAGACTATTAATGACAGTTCTGGGACTGTCCTTCCATACAGCGGTTGAAACATTGTATGTATTTGTTTCCATAAATGGATCCATTTATGGAAACAAATACATACAATGTTTCAAACCGCTGTATGGAAGGACAGTCCCAGAACTGTCAGAAATAGTCTATTTCTGACAGTTCTGGGACATTCACTCCATACAGCTGTTTCAACCGCTGTATGGAGGGAATGTCATAGAACTGTCAGAAATAGACTATTAATGACAGTTCTGGGACTGTCCTTCCATACAGCGGTTGAAACATTGTATCTATATTTGTTTCCATAAATGGATCCATTTATGGAAACAAATAGATACAATGTTTCAACCGCTGTATGGAAGGACAGTCCCAGAACTGTCATTAATAGTCTATTTCTGACAGTTCTATGACAGGTTGAAACAGCTGTATGGAGTGAATGTCCCAGAACTGTCAGAAATAGACTATTTATGACAGTTCTGGGACATTCACACTCCATACAGCGGTTGAAACATTGTATCTATTTTTTTCCATAAATGACATTCTGCAGATACACTTAGAGGAGCGCTGCAGATACACACTTTTTGCCGGCTTGGAATTATTCTTATTTTTTCATCCTACTTCTTCTTTTTTCTTCTTATGAGGATGAGGATGAAGAAGAAGAAGTAGGATGAAAATAAGATTAATTCCAAGCCGGCAAAAAGTGTATCTGCAGCGCTCCTCTAAGTGTATTTGCAGAATGTCATTTATGGAAAAAAATAGATACAATGTTTCAACCGCTGTATGGAAGGACAGTCCCAGAACTGTCATAAATAGTCTATTTCTGACAGTTCTGGGACATTCACTCCATACAGCTGTTTTTCAAACCGCTGTATGGAGGGAATGTCATAGAACTGTCAGAAATAGACTATTAATGACAGTTCTGGGACTGTCCTTCCATACAGCGGTTGAAACATTGTATGTATTTGTTTCCATAAATGGATCCATTTATGGAAACAAATACATACAAGTTCTGGGACTTCCTTCCATGGAAAGCGGTTGAAACATTGTATGTATTTGTTTCCATAAATGGATCCATTTATGGAAACAAATACATACAATGTTTCAACCGCTGTATGGAAGGACAGTCCCAGAACTGTCAGAAATAGACTATTTCTGACAGTTCTATGACATTCCCTCCATACAGCGGTTGAAACAGCTGTATGGAGTGAATGTCCCGAATTAATCTTATTCTTCATCCTTCACTTCTTCTTCTTTTCATCCTCTGTATCCTCATCCTGAAGAAAAATAAGACCTTCTCCTTCTCCTTCTTCTCAACATAATATCTAAGTTTCCATAAATGGATCCATTTATGGAAAACTTCTATACATACAATGTTTCAACCGCTCTTATGGAAGGACAGTCCCAGAACTGTCATTAATAGTCTATTTCTGACAGTTCCATGACATTCCCTCCATACAGCGGTTGAAACAGCTGTATGGAGTGAATGTCCCAGAACTGTCAGAAATAGACAGAAACTGTCACAGAACTGTCCTTCTTCTCATCCTTCTCCTTCTCCTTCTTCTCATCCTTCTTCTCATCCTTCTTCTCATCCTTCTCCTTCTTCTCATCCTTCCTTCTTCTTTCTCTCCTTCTCCTCTTCTCCTTCTCCTTCTCTTCTTCTTCTCTCTTCCTTCTTCTCCTTCTTCTCATCCTTCTCCTTCTTCTCTTCCTTCTCCTTTCTCTCTTCTCTTCTTCTTCTCCTTCTCCTTTCTTCTCATCCTTCTCCTTCTCCTTCTTCTCATCCTTCCTTCTTCCTTCTCCTTCTTCTCATCCTTCTCCTTCTTCCTTCTTCTCATCCTTCTCCTTCTCTCTCCTTCTCCTTCTCCTTCTCTCATCCTTCTCCTTCTCTTCTCCTCTCCTTCTCTCATCTTCTCATCCTTCTCCTTTTCCCTCATCCTTCTCCTTCTCCTTCTTCTCATCCTTCTCCTTCTTCTCATCCTTCTCCTTCTCCTCATCCTTCTCCTTCTCCTTCTTCTCATCCTTCTCCTTCTCCTTCTTCTCATCCTTCTCCTTCTCCTTCTTCTCATCCTTCTCCTTCTTCTCATCCTTCTCCTTCTCCTTCTCTTTCCTCATCTCCAAGGGCATTTAAATTAAAGGTACAGTGTTCTGCACTAATTTAAAGGCTCTCTGAAGCCTAGAAACCCTTTTTATAAGTCATCTTCGTAGCGAAGAAATTCGCATCGAATCGAATTTCACACTGGAATTCGCCGAATCAGCCGAATCGAATTTTTGAGAAATTCGCTCATCTCTAAAGGTAACTATAAAATTAAATAAAGCTCTGACATCAAAACATATGAATCTGTCAGGAGCGTGTAGCGCTCGTGATCCTTGATAGTTGCTCATCTCATTCCAGCATCCTGGTTTTGTCTGATACATTCTCCCTATCCCTCTGTCCAACTGCAAGGTAATTGATGAAGCAGTCTGTGTGGGTGGAGACCAAACCTTATTTAAGTCAGCCAAGCCTGCAGTCTCATGCTTGTGATAGTGCTTAACATGAACTTCAAGCTTCCTGTTTGTCTGCCCTGTTCCTATGCCTCCTGGTTTGGATTGGGGGGGGGGGGGGGCAGGGGGAACTGTTCCCACCAGGAGAAACACAGTGATTACTGCTAGTGGCTATATTTGTTGATAGCAATGAACACATGTAAAAGCTGACAGGCTAGTTGTACCCAAATTGATTGATCAATCAACTTGGGTACATTCAGCCTGCCCATACATGGTTCAAGTCTCTGCTGAACTGGCCAATATTCGAACCATCTATGGCTGGCTCATGTACAGTATGAGGAAAGTCCTCGTCAGGCCAGTACAGTTTATAGGCCAGTATACAGTATATGTACATTATATATTGTAGTACGTTTACCTTTTCTTTTTGTAACTGGAAACAATTCCACGCTCTTCTGATTGGCAGGATCCAGATGCCAAGATCTCTAAGAGCTAGAAGAAAAGATTTCACATGACAAGAATAAGAATATTTTTTTAAATCCTAAATTGTGCATGTTTAGAGGTTATTGCACATTGTATTTTCTGTATGGATTTCTTTATCTTTAAAGCATGATGTAGCAGTTATGGACAATGAGATTGCAGACAATACTGCATATAATTAACCTATTAAGAAACACTTAATTCATGGGATAAAGGTTGCATTTAAAGTTAGCATTGGCCAGCAAATGCAGGAACCACTAATTTTAAAAAAAAAGTCTTTCATTTCAGCTCCACCTACAGCTCATCTGTTTTGTTGGACTACAGGACACAGTTACGTCTAGCCAACCTTGAATTAACATTATTTACCATACTTAAAACCTAACAACTGAGTACCTATTAACATACATCAATTGTACTCCTATTTCATAAAGACAAGTGTTGTTTATTAATTGCAATGTTATCAACAACAAAACGCATGTTGGATCATGAACAGTATGATGATAATGATGACAATGATGAAGATGAAGCTGAGGAAGATGATGAAGAAACAGTTAAATTGGAACTTAAAGTAATAAATAAAAATGGGTGTACAGTGAACAGGCAGGATTTTTAATGCAGAAGAGACATGCTTTAATGCCTAAATAGTGCATTAATCAGAAAATTGCACTGTCTGTCAAAGCTTCAGTTATTCGCCTACCATAGAAGCTTACACATATGACTGGTATGTATAACCCTTTATTTCAGTACATAGGAGCTAGCCAAATAAATAAATATTTGAAATGTAATATTTTCATACTTTAATACCATGGTGAAAAGAAATCTTGAGCATGCACTGGCCATGCATGTCGTCTTTGAAACTCCAGCATCTCATTTTAGTCCCCATTGCACCTATTTATGAGCTTGTCCTTTGGAATCCTGGATCTGTTTGACTTTATATACTAAGTCAATAGAGTTGATTTACTAAAACTGGAGAGTAAAAAATATGATACAGCTGTGCATGCTAACCAATCAGCTTTTAACTTTAGCTGGCTCAATTAAGCTTTGACAAAAAAAATGGAAGCTGGTTTCTATGCAGAGCTGTACTAAATTTTGCATCTCCAGTTTTAGTAAATCAATTGCAATGTTTTCAAAGCTCTAATCTTGTTAAAGTGGTTTTTAAGAGCACAATTTTAATATCAGAAGCTCCAAAAGAGAACCAATGATTGGATTTTGTATTTGTAAGGACACTGGTTGTTTTTATCCAGAACATATATACCAAAACATCACCTACACCATCCAATATAACCTCAGCTAAAAGGATTAGACACAACATTGGATGTTCTTGGTGAAAAGTGAGGCTCCAAGGATAAACTCTGGAGCTAGATGCTTATTTTATTAGCCCATTTCTTGTGCATAGCCAAAGATATTTTTAGTAGCCGTATGTGATGAATAGATCGACAACAGGAAAATTAAAAAAGTATATAGACTAGCAGCACATTATGCTAGCATTTGTGCTTGCTCTCTATGTTAGAGGAAGAGACGAGATATGTTAAACTGAAAAAAAAAACCTGTATATTATGTCACAGTAAAGAGCCAGAAATATTTCATGCTTGCACATCATGTACTGTAAGTTTTTTTATTAGTTCACAATAGAAGATAAAGAAACCTGGTGTTATAAGTAAATAAATTAGAGTGAAATATTCCAAAGCAACAAGCAATAACAACATAACTGCTTTTTTGGGCAGTATGTGCTTCTTTTTTAGCTAAGATGCTAAGTCAGAAGGAAGGAACACTCAGATTGATCTTGATTAAACAAATAGTGTATATTTTTTGGTAACTGAAGATTGAAAAATACTACATATTTGCAGTAGATTTTTTAAGCCTTTGTGATAGTCTGTATTACAGAGGGAGAGAGCAAGCAGATTTCATGTTCAATAAATAAAAAAATGCCTATTTTTTAGGTCCAGGATCAAACAGTTGTACAGATTTGCCGCACATCTTTTAAGCTTTGTTTAGGTAGGTCGCAATTTCTGAGGGAGAGAGCAAGCACTTTGGAACAAACATATGTATTTATTAGGAGACTAAACATGGAAAAATTTTACATATTTTCACCATAGATATTATGCGTGTACAGTATGCACAGGCTTCAATTTCAAAGCAGGCATAATAAATCTGGAAATAAAAACTTTGTGTCTTGATTCAGAGACTGAAGATGAAAAGTTTTACAGTTTAGCACCACAGGCATTAAGCTTTTTTTGGACAGGTCACAATTTGTTTGGGATTGAGCAGGCATATTTAATCTTAAAAGACAACATTAGTGTCTATATGTTTCAAAATGTAAAATATTTTAATTGCATAGACTTGAAGCAGCCCATGTAAGTCTTTTTTGATAAGCCACCATTTCTAAGATAGATGGCAAGTACATTGCATCTGGAAATAAAAAAAATTTAATTTTTAAGAGACTGAAGATTAAAAAATGTTACAGACTTGAATCACAAATTTTAAGCCTCCATAGATATACTGCAATTTCTGAATGACTGAGCAGGCAGATTGCCTCAGACTGAGGAGGGGATTTAGCACCACAGTAAATAAGCCTTTTTGGACAAGCCATGATTTTTTACAGATAAAGACAGCCTATTTCACCTGCATTAAAAACAATTGTGTCTATTTTTTTACAAATTTAAAAGAAAACATTCACAAATATGCAGCACACCTTTGAATCCATTATAGGTCACAAATCCTAAGGGAGAATAAGCACATTGCATATTGAATTTAAAAAATAGTGTTTTGCCTTGGAGACTAAAGAAGGAAAAGAGTTACAGATTTTGACTTTAGATATTACGCCTGCATGGTCAGACTGCAATTTCTGAGAGACTAAGCAGGAATTTTGAATCTGGAAACAACAAAATAATGTGTATTTTGTATTAAATTGAAAATAAAAACATTAACCAAATTGCACCACACCTTTAAAGCCTTTATTGGATAGGCCACAAGAGAGATCAAGCACATTTCATGTAGAATTTTAAATAATGGTCTTGTTTTAGAGACTAAAGGTGGAAAAAGGTTTGCATCCCAGATATTAAGCCTATATGGTCAGAATGCAATATCTGAGGGAGAGAGCAGGTACATTGCATCTGGAAGTAAAAATATTGTGTCTTGTTTCCAAGACTGAATTTAGGAAAGGATTAGTGATTTGCACCACAGATATCAAGCCTATATAGGCAAGCTGCAATTTCTGAGCAAATGAGTGTGCATAAATATAAACATTGAATAGAATTGCACTACTACACATTTCAAGACTTAATTGGAATAGTACACTTTTTCTGAGGGAGAGAGTAAGCAGATTGCATCCGCAGACTGAATAAAGAACAATTTGCTGCTAAGCGTTCACTCTTTTACAGCAGGCTACTTTCTCTGTGAGAGAGCACAGGTAGATTGCAGTTATAATTAGGTAAATATTTTTTTGTGTTCCAAAAAAGATGGTAAGTAGAACAGCTTTTTTA